AACCCAAATCAAACCGCCCCCCACCCTCCCACTTCCCTCTCCTGCAGGACCTTCTTCCTCGTCTCGGCGGCCAGGGGGCGGGGCTAAGAGGAGAGGGTCCTCGCACGGCAGAATGTGCTGCCTGGCGGTGCCTGCAGCACATTCTGCGCGACTACTGGTTGTCAGCTTCTCCATCCCCGCCGCACAGCCGCCCGTAAATGCTGCGGGTGGCAGAGCAGCAGGGAAGGAGCGGCACGATCTCGGGGGGGGGCCCTCTTCTTCCTCTCTGCCCCCCCCCCCAGCAGGCGGAACGCCAGGGCCCGGTCGCAATTGCTACCGCTGCGACCCTGGTAGTTCCTCCAGTGGTCACACCCTTTTACAGAAAATGTTGTGTTTACAAAGATGGTATTTAGTACTAAATGATCAGCATATTAAAAGTCCTTGAAGACTCTGGATCCTTTGTAAATAATGTTCTATTATTGTATAGCTGATATAGACCATTGCCTAGGATGGCAAAGTTTCTACGGGCAGCATCCAGTCACCCACAAATGTTAGTCCAGCTGGGTCCCATTTTGGGGGTTTCTAAACAGCCTGTTTGATTTTTTTGGGTGAAATAGTGTTCTGTGTACTTACAGTTTACCTACTCCGTGTCAGTTAGAATTAAATTTTAAATTAGGGTAGCTCCATAGGCTGCCCTACTCCACTAGTTGACAATTCTAACGGGGTTATTCACGAAAGAGTGAAGATTCTAGAAAAGGTAGGATAAGTGAATAATCTAGGACAACATAACTAAAGTGGAAAGTGTTCTGAATTGTTGAATTTTTCCAAATCAGCTATTTTGGCCTAGATTGTTTACTTCTCCTGCCTTCTCCAAACTCTTTACCCTTTTGTGAATAACCCCATGAGTGTACTGGCGCAGTGGTTCCTTTCAATCTTCCTGTCCTTCGCCTCAGTGTCTTTTGTGTGCTTATGATGACTGATCTTGTTAGTGCTAAGGTTAGCCAGTCAGGTTGGGGTAGGAAGGTGGTGCCACAAGAAACTGTGTCTAGTGGTGGAGGAAGTAGAATCCAATCCTGTATAAACCCATAGCAGAAGAAACTCTTCATACTTACAAAACTGCTAGAGATGTAAAACCAGACAGCTAGACATAATGCTTCCTCTTTATCTTTTAAAATATAACAAGATTAATCTAGATCTTTGTAATCTTTGTAAGCGTAAGTTACAGTCCAACTCATACAAAACTTTGCTGCCATTGAGCTTTAATTAGCCCAAAAGTTGTCATCCCAGAACATTGGATTACAACTGTGTACTGTCCTCACCATTAAATCACAAGGGCTTATTGCCATGTATAACATAATGACTTTTACTGTAGCACATAGATTTTATACCTCAATATGCCATTATTCACAACCTAGACATTGATCTATTGTGTGCAACCACCTTTCCCAAATTTTATTTAAGCATTCCAGAGGACTGCCACCATGTTTTTAAAATCTTGGATATACTTATAGCTTGACTGCCGGTTCAGGTGCTCAGGGAAAATTGTAGTATAATTAATATGTGCTCTTCCGATACAATAATAGATTTTGAAATGCCTTGCTGCATTGACAGTATTCTCTAATTTGTTTCCTGTTTTCTTACAGCTGGTGCTCTTTGCAGGAAAACTAAATACCATTGCTGCAATTGTGACCATTTTTTTCCTGCTGGTATATGCTGCAGTAGGACTTGCCTGTGTGGCACTAGAATGGGCATCCGCACCAAATTTCAGGTAATGAGAAAAGTATTTTCTTTTTAGGAAAGCCATGTTAGCTTGTGGTCCAGGTGCAGCATTTCCGCCAGTTTGTAAAGAAACATTGCCTGTTTGGTGAGCCTGGGGTTTAATAAATGTTGATATGAGTTAACGTGCTGCACTATAGAGGGAGTGATTTACTAAAAAAAGTATATTTTTCAATTAGCCTTATCTACCTACTTGTTCAAGGTCAGTGACTTAAAGTACTTGGTCAGCATGACACTCGGGCAACTAGCATTTTCAGAATACAAACTTGATAATGGCAGCCTCCATGTGTTCCTTATGACATTATTGACTGGCTTTAAAGCTTGAGTCTCTGATCCACAGCGAGCATGCAGCCAGCTAAATGTCAATATAGTCTAATTGCATATGATTGACTTACCAAGCTATGAAGGAAGAATGGGGATGAGGATCAGAGCTTGCACCTTCAAGAATAGGTCAGCAATGGTTGTTTCCATGTGTAGCCCTGTTTGGGCAGGAAGGGGGGGGGGGGTGAAGGTCAAGTGAGATGACCCTCTCCAATCAGCTACCACTGCCCACCTATAGGTAACTAGAAGATCCTGAGCCTGGGAGCATGGGACTTGAATATATCCAGAACAACTGCCTCCACCTAGCTGGGTCTTGTGTATTACAAGTGTGGCACCCAGATGAGAATAACTTTGTCCCTAGTCATGTTCTTCTCAAGATACAACTCTGATCATTAGATGTTAAGAGTGATGAGTGTCAGTTACTTTGAATAAATAATTTAATTGAACATGCATGTAGAATAAGGAAGGAGGATAAAAACACACCTTTAGTCTTCTGCATTGTCTTCTGTCTTTCTAGATCCCTCTTTCTCTTAATGCTTTACTGGCTGGACACATATCTTGTAAATTGTCTCGTTGTAACTGAGGTTCTAGTGTATGCTCAGTCTTTCCATCAAGGCTGGACAGCAATGGGAAAGTTCCTTTGTTACTTCCCCAGCCTCAGTCAGTCACTCACCATCTCTGGGGGGGACAACTGCAATTGTGCATCCTCAAGGTCTGTAGCACTCCAAAGCAGCCAGTAACTTAGGGACACCTCCCAGGAGGGGAGATCTGCACAGGGTCCTAGGCCCCTCAGGCCTGGGACCTAAATTGGTGGATCACAGATGCATCCTCTCAGACCCTGGAGAACAGATGCCAGGAAGTGCCTCATATATTTAAAAGCTCTCCCATCATGCACAGCAGGTTCCCCAAGCCTGCTGATTGGCCAGGTATTAAACATCCTTAATGTGGAGTTTTAACTCTAGCAAACCCTGCTGGAGAACACTCAACACAGCAGGTGACTAAGAATTATCACTGCACACTTAGGGAGTATTCATGGCATCCGAATGAATAACCGAGCCGAAGTGAAGTGAGCCGATAGCTGTTTGGCTATTCACTTCTGGCTTGTAGGGCCGATTTTAGCCGTACATCGGCTAAAATCATCTCTACATTGGCTGCCTTCGGTCAGCCGAACATGCTCTGCATGTTCGGGGGAGCCGAAGTGCAGAAGGAGTTCAACTCAGCTGATCCAACATCTGGCTGAGCCGAAGCTCCGGCAGCTCACTCGCTGCTGTTTGCCCCATTCTCATAGGGGTGGAACGGCAGTAAGTGAATAGCCGAATGCATTCTACTTGGCTATTCTGCTTGGTACCTCCCAGGTAGCAAGCAGAATAGAAACAAAGTTAAATGAAAAAAAATGTTGAAAAATTATTTTTAAAATGTAAACAAAATAGGAAAATTAAAAAATATATATTTTAAAGAAAAGAGAAAAACATTTAAAAATGAAATAAAAAATAATAATAAAAAAAGATGCACGCCGACCCAACTGCATGCCATAAACTCCCGCCAGCTCCGTCCAGTTGTTATTGTTTTATGACACATCAGCGTCCCTAGGTCATTTGGAGACGCTGATCTGTAATTACAACTGGGCGGAGGGAGCTGTGAGATCTGGCTAGCTGTCATTTGCATGGAGATCGGTCAGCTTCGGCCGACCTTTCTACGCGCTTCGCCCGAAGCATATGATTTCGGCTTGGCTGAACCGCTCAGCTTCCTTCGGCTGCTGTACGGGCTATAGTGAAAAGCCCTTACGGCAGCACTTTAGTTCCACTGAACCGAATTTCTCCGGCGACCGAAGTGAGCCGAAGGATCAGACGAAGCTATGGCTGTATGCTTTGGCTCATTCGTGAATAACCCTCTTAGAGAACACAAGCCAGCACACAGCTAAACTGACTAATCTTACACTGACAGATCAAAAAACATAGGAGGATAATTTGTAATACTACATCCTTACACATATTTATGTCCTGACAGGTTTCTTTAAAATCCTTATCACCTAATATCTGCAGTATCAACAGGTTTGGACAATAAGGCAGATATCTCTAGGGTTGCAATGACCTACGAACTTTTGAATGAGCACTTAAATCAAAAGAAGAGAACCTTCATTCACTGTGAGCACCCAATCACATGCAAAGTATTTAAACAAAATGAATTTTCCCTGCACAGGATTTGAATTGAAGTACATAATGTACATACAGCTTTACTGAGCTAAGTAAAAAATACACTCCTTTAGTAAATCAACCCTGTAGTGTGTTGCTTTTGTTTACTTGGCGGTATACCACATATTAGGAAAGTGCCAGTTTTTAAATGAAAGCTCTTTAGTGCATTTTTAGTCATTTTGATGTGATTTTCATTTTTTTACTTGCCATTCCATATTATGATTGTTATATTGTTTTAGGCTTTTTTCTTTTTTTACACCTTTAATACTACCAGCAACATACTATTTGTCCTGGGGTGACTATGATCACGCACCGTATGGTATTTATGGAGCAGCAGTGTTGTCACCCTAAAACAAGACTACAGAACAACTTCCCCTCTTCTCCACTGAATAGGGAAAAGGTTTTTTGTAGTCTACATACTGTAGATAGCTGGGACCAATATCAATAATAATAGTGTAGCACAAACAGGGAGCACAGAAAGTTTTAAGCTCACAGGATTGCTGGCAGGACCCACAGGTAAACTTTAGTATTTATTGAACAGAAAACCCTTTCAAACCAAACCAAAATGGAACACAAAAGAGAAATAGTTAGGGTTTACATACACTTTAAAGAGATATTTGTAAATGCTCCCTGTCGTAGTCATTTGTATATAAGGGAATTTGATTACTATTCCTGCTTAAATTATAACTTTAATGCGGACATGATTGTCCAGACAGGATGGGAACCACGGCTTCCTCCATAACTAATGCCATACCCCATACCATAACATAAGCTCTGTATTGACTTCATATTAATATTGAAATGCAGTAATCAAAAGCAAATAAGGACAAATAGACACACTTAAAAAAAACAGGCACACTATCGTTTTCAGGATAATACATGGTGCAAATCAGAAGAGCAGTGAGTACACAGGGGACTTTTTTTTCTGGTTAGATGAGAGTTCTGGTTAGTTAAATACCGGATAACAGAGAGTTTACTGTGTATATGTAGATAGATTATGAGTATGTTGCACATGGCTCCACTCTATGCATAAAGTTATCTTTTTAAAAAGGGTCCATTAAAAATTATGCTATTATAGTGCTATTCTTTATATTTAACCCATGGGTAACTTCGGGGTAGATATTAATCCCCAAAGCCTTAGTGAAGACCCACGATATTTTTCTCCTTTGTGTTATTGGGAGGTGGAGCTTGAACGGAACCCAGAAATTAAGTCACCATGCCATAACCAGTCGCATCATGTACCTTCCCCCTGTAAGCTGTAACCTACCTTCCAGCAGCCAAGAAACCATTGAAAAAGCATTCACTGCACACTTATCCAATTTTTACTTTTAAAAAAAAAAGAGGACATTTTCTTTATTTAGTAATGAAATGATCTGAAAACCAAAAAAACTGAAAAATTTGATCATAAAAGATATGGTGCTCATAGTCCAGTTTAATTAGTGTCATGTATTTAAAGCAGGGATATTGATCTCTGATGCCACAACATACTCCAAGATTGCGGAGATGCAGCACCAGAGAGATAGGATTTGTGCTTTATAAATACTGCGGTATGAGAAGTGACAGCTTACTGGATGACACTTCACATTTCATTAGGTGCAGTAAGGAAAAGATGTCATGCTCATAATTACAGAGATTATAAATAGCGTGCAATGTGAAGAATCCTCCAAACAGCAGCAAAACAGTGCTAAAAGAACAAAATACGGTATATCACCCTTAAATGATAATATAATTGATAATATAATATAGGTAATAATATTAAATTCAAGCTGAACATGTGATGTGATAATTAGGGATGCACCGATACTGATACCAGTATTGGTGCTGATACTGGGCATTTTCACTAGTACTCGTGAAAGTGACCCGAAACTAAACTCTGATACTGACGCGTAAAATTTTTAAAATTATGTGGCTGCCTGAGGTCATGGGCTTGCTGGGGACCTCGGCAGCCTTCCTGTGAACCACAGAACCTGTTTACAGCGCTGACTGCACATCTCCTCTTCCTTCCTGGGGAATGCCGCCGCCTGCGAGACCCTCCGGAACCCATGGTGAGACCCTGCACATCCTTCCTGCGACACTGTACAACCTTCCTGAGATCCTCCACAGCCCTCCCGAGGCCCTGGAGACATCAGGATGCCACCCTGGAGCAGCACAGCTTCATATTATTGTGCATTGCTGTATAATGTATTGCTGGGATTTGTAGGCCTCTATAGCTGGTGGTATTCTGCATTGCTATATAATGTATTGCTGGGATTGGTTGCGGCTACGGGCAGGCCCTGGTGCTCCACCACTGTCCTAAAATCATTAGTCTGTATTGTTTTAGAAAAACTGTCAACACTAAAAAAAAATGTATCGCTAATTGGTATTGCCGAGTACTTTAGGAAAAGCATTGGTACTCCCGGTCTTGAAAAAATGGCATCGGTGCAACCCTTGAGATAATATTCAATTCAAGCTGAACATATGTATATATATATAAAAATAT